GTCTCCTGGTTTTCTGGGGCGCAGTACATGAGTTGGTAGCTACCCTTAGGTCGTCGATCGTCTGGTCGTCTTTGAGGAGCTAAAGGCCACGATCCCAATCGTTGGGGTCGTGGCTTTCATCGGTCTGGGTGGCCTTTAAGTTAAGGTCCCCGTCGTGGATCTCATCCCATGGTGGGTGAGATCGTACATGCGTCTTGTCGGTCCATATCTGGCTGGTGGCTGTCGTGCCTGTCGTCACCGCCTCACGGCAGTGTTGTCTTGTCCGACCTTTGTGGCGCAGGGCTGGCATCTGACCGGACCGAGGTGACTACTGTCCCCTTGGTCCTCGCGGGGTCAGTGAGGCGTGCCTGCCCTTGCCAGAGTAGGTGTACTTAGCGGGGCTCGACCTCTCCCCATCCCTTTCAGGGGTCGTGATGGGGGTGAGGTCGTGTGATTTTCGTGCGCCGTGTGTGTAAGGCAGGATGAAGAGGTCGTGGCCGATCCTGGCCCTAGCGTCTGACCTGGCTTGCTCGGCTCGACTGGGCCTCGGTCGTTCGGGCCTTCGCCAGCTAGCGTATTGCGGGTCACGTGGCCTGCTAACTAATCAGTGCCCTAAGACACCCCGGGGTTATAACTCCGACAAGTGGCCACTACGGTCATGGCAATCCTTCATTGACGTTTCTAGGTAGTTTGGATGGTCAAAATTGACTAATTACAATAGATAACTAGAGCTTCTATTAGCAAATGAGCGCCAAATGAGTTCATAAAGATTCAAACAAGTTCAAGCTTGGCACCATAACATGGACCATGCTTTTAGAAAAAAATCAGACACTAGTTTCGTAATTTTTTGAGCTAAAACAAAATTTTAAGGTTAAACCAGGCTTTAGAATTTTTAATTGTATTATTTTTCCATGTAAATATATATTTGGATACTTTTTTGAAAATTTTAATGAATTTTTAGTTTTTTAATAAAAAAATATTTTTAGACCAATTTATCTCTTGACCTTTTAACTTAGTCTGATTTACTCTCTTTGATGTGACGCCGCATCAGCAAAATCACTATCAAAACTACTTAAAGTGCAAAAGTAAATGATTTTCAAAAGTTGAGATAGTTAAAAACTAGTTTTGTAGATGAGCAAGAAAGTCGGACCATGATAGTTAAGACAGAGAAATTAGATTTTTTTCTTTTTTTCGAAAAGTCAAAGTAAAAAGTAGCATGTTCTTTTCTTTTTGGAAAGCCAAAGCTAACATAGCAGAAACGTCAAAGCCCAAACAAGCAGGTCCAAAAGAGGCCCAGATAACTGGAGTTCTGGATCTAGGGGAAGCGCGGTGGTGTGTGATTATTTCTCGTCCTTACCACACGAAACCTTAGAGCAAGGACATTGCTACACGTAAGCGGTCTTATACTTCGTCTCATGCAATGCAACGTAGGATTTTTTTGCTTATGTGGAGGAAAGAGAAAGGTAAGAGAGAAAGAGGTCGTTGTTTCACGGAATGAGCTAATATTTAGGACTATGAGACAACTATTATAACACTGTATGAGTTGTTGTTGCAATGCAACTCACAAGTTACTTTTATTTTATCCATAAATTAAGTAATTATGAGTTACTACGAGACAACTTAAAAAACAACCATTGTATACATTGTGTATTAAGTCGTCCTAAGATTCGTGGTACTACATGAGACCACCTATAAAGACAACACCAATGTACTTAGCCCTTAGGTGGCGTTCGGATAGCATTTTGGATTGGGAAAAGGAAATGGTATAGGTTATGCTGACTCAGGAAAGGGTATGGGTTACGAGACATCTGCCCTTTTTTGACGGCATGAGACATCTACCGTTATCCCATGTTTGCCTTTTTGGCCCTGTTTGTTTCTCTTATAATCCATCTTTTTCAGCTTATTTTTTCAGCCGGAACAACGTTTTTCTCTCACATCAAATCAGCCGGAACAATGTTTCGGCTTGTTTTTTAGCGAAGCGAATGGGGCCTTTGAATTTAGATTTGGGTTTAGCGGGACCCAGGCAATAGAAAAATGCTAACCTTAGATAGCGTTTGGTTGGGAGGCTAGGTGGGATGGGATGAACTCAACCCAGTTTTTAGGGATGGGACAATTCTGGCTATCTGTTTGGTTGAGAGATTGGGACGGTTCCTGTTTTTTGTTTGGTAGTAGGGATATGATGGATGTAATTTTAACACCGTTACCTACAGTATTATGGGTCCCACATGTCAGTTGTGGGCCCCACCAGCCGACCCTATCTCTTATTCCCTTTCGTCTTCTACTGATGGCCCGCCCTAGGCGCTGACGCGCACTCACGCCCGCCCCATTGCGCCACCGCTGCTTGTCGCCGCGGCGCCACCCACCCCTTGAGCCATTGCTGCCTGCCCCTTGCACCACCACCGCCTCTACATGGAAGACCCGTGCCCGCTCATCCGGATCTCGTCAGTCGCTGTGCGAGAGCTCCGGGTCATGGCAGATCCAGTCCTAGCTCCATGCCGAATCTAGGTTGGGGATCCAGGTCCCAGCGCTGCCTGCGCCATGGAGGAAGAAGGCGTGGCCCGGAGCTCGAGGAAGAAGGCCGACGACGAAGAAGAAGATGGTGAGACGGAGAAGAGATGACAACGGTTGGGGACAACCCCGTCCCCTCGATTTTGAGGGACAGGGGCCGACCCGAATCTGAGCGAATTTTCATCTCGGGGACGAACCCATCCCTCTTCGCCCCTGAACCAAACACTGGTAAGAATGTGTTCGTCCCGTCCTGTCCTCGTCGATCCTTTCAACCAAACAGACGGTTAGGTCCTCCACAATGTGGGGTAATGCTACAAAAAATTGGACCACCACATCAAGAGAAGGCATCGAATCCTACGTAGCTGCAGTGTTCTGTATATACAGGAACCGATGCCATTATTTTGTGGGACCCACAAAGTAACAAAAAAGAAATAAAAAACAGATTCACATGCCTTCCTCTTGCAGTCTTGCTCTGTCCTCTCTAGCTCTTTTCTTGACATGCACACCTGGGGTGCACTGCTTGCCGTAGAAATAATATATTTTACTAACTGGGCATCGAGCGGGCACCGACGCAAGTAGGTGTGCCGCTCCCCATTTTGCTAGCACTGCTAAAAACTGGCTTTGCTAGTTGTAATGGGAGGAGTGATGCTACAATCCTCCCTCTCTTCTTTTGGGCATCACTCAAGCCTTACATTGTGGAGGGCCTTATCTTTTCATCGGTTCTTGTCTAGTCCATGTGTGTCCATTCAAAGCCGCAAGGCAGAGAAAAGCAGGCACACGCCCGCAGGTTCGCGAGGTGAGCGGCGAATGGCATCTGGTGGGCATCTCTCGGTGCCTTCATGAGAGTGCGAGCAGTGTTTCAGGTGCCTACACGGCGAAGCGCCCTGACGCGTACGAATCGAGCGTGGCTCCGGCATCTCCCGGGCATGCGAGATAGGGGCACCTCTGGCGGACGGCAGCTCCGCACGCTTGCGAGTCAAGGTCAGCCCTAGCGACGACTCGTCGGTAGCTCCGACTCTTGTGAGTCAAGGTCAGCCCAGCGACAGCTCGTTGTCTTCCTCCGATGTCCAACCCCCGTCATCTTCCTTTGTCCTACTCGTACAAATCCAGCCACGGATTCGACCGCTCTATGTCACCGAGATAGAGCTCCTTTCGGTCGTGTGCTTTCTATGTTGCCGAGATCGAGCTCCTTTCGGCCGCATGCTCTCCAGGTCGTCGACATTGAGCTCCTCACGATGCCCCCTAGGTCAACCTCATTGGCTCGCTGCACCGTTGGTTCCATTCACAAAAAGGTCGGCCTTCATTTTGTCGAGGACCGCCGTCGTTGGTCATGGATATCCTACTCGTAACCCACCCTCATCGGTGGGATAGAATCACTGGGAAATATTGAGCGCATTTCCCTATGTGTTTCTTTCTCTATTTCCCTTTCCCGTGAATCAAATGCTGGATATGGTTTCCCATAGGGATGAAAACGGTATGGGTAAATCCTGTACCGCCCGGCCGTATGAACAGATCGAATACTCTTTACTCGGGAAAAATGAAAACAGGAAATTTCGTGGGAAAAATTTGGTAGAAACGGGAACAAATTCGGATGAACCGTTTTAGCGACCGTTTTCGCGGCCGTATTTTAGCAGGAACGTTCCCATGGTAGAATACCCCACCATATTTGGGGTTCCTGATCCCAACGGCTCAGTAGCCCAGCGCTCAAGCCTCTGTGGGCTGTGGCCCAGCCCACTTAGGTGCCCCCTTGACCCCTTCGGCCTTCCCCAGCCGGCACTTTTCAACATTGTTAGGGTTCCCAACCGCAGCCCTAGGCCGCACTGCCGCAGCCACCAGGCGTCTAGCCCGACGGCCTCGGCGGCTGCCGCGCCAGCCGCCAGCGCCAAGTGGTGGTGCGCACCTTTGTCCTGACCTGAGCCCCTCCCCTTCCTCCGCCTCACTCGCGCCTGGTGCCCACCTCCGCCTCGACCTGAGTCCTGACCCGAGCCCCTCCCGTTCCTCACTCGCGCAGGGCAAAGCGCCGCCGCCGCTCAGCGCCGAGAGGAGCAGGGGATCCGAAGCCTCAATTTGTGATTATTTATTGTCCTTGCCACATGAAGGCCTCGTTCACCTTGCAAAAAAAAATGAACCTGATGAATAGTACCATTTTCGTCTTATTTGACAAATATTGTTGAATCGTGGACCAACTAGGCTCAAAAGATTTATCTCGTGATTTTCAACTAAACTGTATAATTAGTTATTTTTTTTTCTACATTTAATACTCCATGCAAACAGCTAAAAATTGACGTGATTGAGAGAGAATGAAAAAACTTAAGAATTTTTAGATGGCATCTAAACAAGTCGGAAGCCTCAATGGGTGGATGCAGACCGTGCTGACCCCTTCACGCGCGTGCCGCCTGCTTCGCGTCTTCTCTCATCTCGAAGCTAGGGTTTTGCCCGCCGCCGCCATCCGACTCTCCTCGTCATCGTCATCGTCCTCATCTTCCCCAGCCGCAGCCGCCGCCCCGCCTCCAATGGCGTCGGCGTGGTCGGCCCTGCGGGTCCGCGAGCAGTTCATCAGCTTCTTCGAGTCCAAGGGGCACACGAGGTGGCCGTCGAGTCCCGTGGTCCCCGTCGACGACCCCACGCTGCTGTTCGCCAACGCTGGGATGAACCAGTACAAGCCGGTCTTCCTCGGCACAGCGGCGCCGGACTCGCCGCTCGGCCGCCTGCGCCGTGCCTGCAACACCCAAAAGTGCATCCGCGCCGGCGGGAAGCACAACGACCTCGACGACGTGGGGAAGGACACGTACCACCATACCTTCTTCGAGATGCTCGGGAACTGGTCCTTCGGGGACTACTTCAAGGAGGAGGCCATCGGATGGGCCTGGGAGCTTCTCACTCAGGTACTCCTTTGCTGCCCAATTCATTCTAATTGAGGGTTGATTGCTTCGAGGCTAGCGAGTTGGATTTCCATGGGATTGTTCGAGGCTTGGTGCAGTGGTGGGAGCTGTCTCACTGAGTCACCAAGTCGTGGGTTTGAAGCAGTCTCTCCACAGATTTTGCGAGGGACCCTTGTCTTGGTTTATCCCTTTCCCAGACCCCACTCACGTGGGAGCCTCCGACACTGGGTCTGCCCTTTTTTTTTTATTGTTCAAGGCTGCATGCAGATTTAGGAGGGAGCTGCTTATGGTAAGGAAAGTTGGGGCCATTGCACGAAACATGGGTTCTTGTCGTATTTCAGTGTTTCAATGATTTGGTAGACACAGGATGATTAAAATGGGTTTTTGATTTGTGTGGTGATCTGGTATTCCAATGGTCAGAGGCATATATATATATATAAGAAATATGACAAGATGGACTTTTTTTTTTTTTTGAAGGGCGGGCCTGGTGCTAGCGGTAGAGTCGCATGTGACCAGAAGGTCCCAGGTTCGAGTCGCGGTCTCCTCGCATTGCACAGGCGAGGGTAAGGCTTGCCGCTGACACCCTTCCCCAGACCCCGCACAGAGCGGGAGCTCTCTACACTGGGTACGCCCTTTAATTGGTTGTTTAGAGCTGAAATTCCCACAAATTCGTAAGAAGCATACTATTTTTCGCTGATTCTAAGCTTAGCTACCTCTGTTTTAAATTTGAAAGGAAATGTGCTCTATTTTTGTCTGCGTGTAATGGTTTCAGTGGTGGTGTTTCTGAGCTGATTGTGATGATCAAATTGCACTTTGAATGATTATAGTCCGTTATAAATAGGTAATTACAGGAGTGAGTACTATGGTCTCATTGAAATAGTATAGCCTTCTGTAGCAAATAAACTGGAAATTAAATGATGGGAGATTTGTATATGTAATACCTCTGTTCCAATTTATAGGTCGTTTTGGCTTTTCTAGAGACACTACTTTTACTACTTATCCAGACATATCGTATATCTAGGTGCATAGCAAAAGCTATGTACCTAGAAAACCCAAAATGACCTATAATTTAGGACAGAGGGTGGTAAAAATTACCAACTGGTTTATGAAAATAATACCTCCCACCTTTTTATGACCTACTGATTGCTATGTCATGTATTCACAGGTATATAAATTGCCCACTGATAGAATTTATGCCACATACTTTGGTGGTGATGAGAAATCTGGTCTTGCTGCTGATACTGAATCGAAGAACATTTGGTTGAAATATCTACCGAAAGAAAAGGTTCTGCCTTTCGGCTGCAAGGTATAGTGCATATGTTTATTGGTCGAAGCTAATGGCATTGTAGGCCTACCTCTTTTTATGCTCTTTCCTGATGCTATTGTTGGGTTTCATCTCTAGCCTAGCCCAACGTGCTTGGGACAAAAAGGTTTTGTTGTTACTAGTCTTAATATTCTTTTTATTTTCTATTTGATTCATAACAAACAATTGAAATGCATTGCCTGAACAGGACAACTTTTGGGAGATGGGTGACACTGGTCCCTGTGGGCCATGTACTGAAATTCATTTTGATCGTATTGGGAACCGTGATGCTGCTTCCTTAGTTAACAATGATGATCCAACTTGTATCGAGATATGGAACCTTGTATTCATTCAGGTCAATATGTCATTCTTTTTTATCTTTTCTTTAAGTAGTTATTAATCCTAAGTGCCACATTTCATACTTCCTTGTTAATTCTTTCTATGTACTGATGTAGTGGTTTCATTTTCAGTTCAATAGGGAGGCAGATGGCACATTGAGACTTTTGCCAGCAAAACATGTGGACACTGGGATGGGCTTTGAGCGTTTAACTTCTATCCTTCAGAATAAAATGAGCAATTATGATACAGATGTATTCATGCCAATATTTGATGCCATCCACCAAGTATGTTTGCCATCTGCGCGCATCATACTTCAAGTTACTTTATTTATGTTTATGCACAGGAGTGCATCTAGATATCGTATTCTATGGATATGCATTGATAATTTTGTACGAACATGTAAATGCAGTTGGCTGACGATGGAATTCAGCCATACTCTGGTAAAGTAGGTTCTGATGATATTGGCAAAGTTGATATGGCTTACAGAGTAGTTGCTGACCACATAAGAACCCTTTCTTTTGCTATTGCTGATGGTTCCCAACCTGGTGTGTGAACTCATTCTTAAACACTTTTCCTTTTCCTATTTCAATTATGCTTCTAGGGCTTTGTTATCTATTGCAGATTGTATTCCCCCCCTCCTCCCCCCCCCCCCCTATTAATATGAGTTCATCTGTAGGTAATGAGGGAAGAGAGTATGTTCTGAGGCGCATACTTAGGCGAGCTGTTCACTTTGGTCATCAGAAATTGAAGGCAAAGCAAGGATTTTTTAGCTCGTAAGAAACAAGCCGTTGATTTGTGTGTAATATGCATGCCTTTATCTAGAACAATATGTTTGCACTCTATTTGAACACGGAATGCTACAAATATATGTTTGAGAGGGATGGATGTTGCCATATGGTATGACGACAAGGATAAGCTTTGTGCTCATTATACAATTGGTAAAGTTACTATGTTTATTGTGAAGTAAGGCACTCAAGTGAAAGTAAGATTTTGGATGTTTGTGCACAAAAGTTTTCTACCTTGTGATACTTTTACTCTTGGTTCAGGGTATGCAATTTTTGCCAGTGTTGTTTGTTTTAGGTACTGGTGTTGTATTTATTTTATTCTTGCCCCAGGATAGTTCTACTGGTTGGAATATATTTTCAGAGACTTAGTAATGCATTTTGTTTTGCCAATCTTATTTGCCGTAACTTGATTATCAATGTATAAATTGATTAGCCCTCCACTTCCGTTTTGAAAACAACACTATTTCTTACTGGATGTTGTATTCTTGAGTATCAAGAAAGCTACCTTTTTTATTTTATTGATTTTACACATGTTTAGTGTTGTATTATTGACCAATCAATTACTAAATATATTTTCTTATAGTTTTGCTTATGTACTATGGACCAATTAATTACTAAATATATTCACCAGTTTTTATTCGGTGGTTGCTGTTTCTTGGGTGTACTGAGTACTGGCAACATATATTCTGTAAATGTTTACTAGATTTGACATCAATATCAAATTGAGGTGAAATGAGGTTGAAGGTTGATACATGATAATTAATTCATGGATGGTAGATGTATAGGTTCCTTTTCTTTGTGAAAAAAGATTTTCCCATATAAATCACTCTCTGACTGCAGTGGGTTATATTTTCAAAAATACAGTGCCGTAGCATTTGTGAGCTGTGATATGTGTCATGAAGGTGCAATAACATATAAGTATAGTGATATATGTTGAGAATTTGGAGTAGTTCTAGGATTTGAGCATCAGTATTAAGTATATTAGATATACATGTATGGACATAAAATAGCTAATGCTCCATATCACTATGTATTGTATATATATTACTTTGTAATGCTACTAAACCTGGGAATGGATCTGTCTCTAATAAAATATCCAATCAACAGCTCTGCTTTCATTTTTTTTAATATGCATATCCCTTAGAGTGCTGACGTGATTTACTATTGAAATTATAATATTCTTGAACAGGCTTGTAAATGTTTTTGTCCAATTGATGGGTGATGTATTTCCTGAGTTAAAAGACAATGAAAAGAAGATCAAAGATATTATTAGAGATGAAGAAGAAAGCTTTGAGAACACTCTAGCAAAGGTAATATTAGTTTCCTAAAGTTTTTTTTTTCTTAGAGCATGAATCTTCTATTTCACTAGAAGCATGAATCTTCTATTGTAGGTTTTATTTTCTGGTATTGTTTGCCTCTATTACCATAGTGCTGTTGGTGTATTTTTCAGGGTTATGAAAAATTTAAGAAAGCTGCAGATGCTGTTAAGGATAATGGTGGAACTGTACTTAGTGGCCAGGCAAGTGATTTTGGTTTTTGAATTTCAATGCGTTTGTTTTTATTTTCATTCGAAGATAAAAATGCTTTGTTTTCTGAGGTAGGTGGGTAGGGCACCTCTATTCTGTTGTACTGTTTGCAGGGTTCTTCCTTCTGTGTTTTTACAACATGTACTTGTTGCCCATTGTTAGTCTGCTGTAGCAACAGTGGCCACTGAATAGCCCAAGACATCTAAATTGGTGTTGTGGCATCATATTTAGTGCCTGTTTATTTCAGCTGTAGATTGTGAAAAGCAGCTTCTAGATGGTGGAATTGCTAGATGTTACAGTGTGGTGTCTGGACTGTAATTTGGTATTGCAATCTGGGTGCTTGATTGGTTCTAGGGCTGTGAAAATCTAGCAATTGCAGGCTCAAAGCCTCAAACAGACAGGCCCTTAAGCATCACAGCTTGTGCCGTATGATCCCATGGGTCTCAGTGCAGCTTGCGGTAGTCCTTTTAATTAACTTTGTCTGTTAATTAATGCTCGAAAGTCCTTTTTGTGTGTGTTGGGGGCGGGGGGTGATGAAGGAGTTCCTTTCTTCTCATTGAGTCAGATGCAAATGTTTCTAGAACTGTCATGCATAGATCTTTTTCCATGGATGATAATCCAGTCTTATTTGTTAACCGCACATTGACAGCCCTGCCTGAACTATTTAAGGGTGTGATTTTCAGGGTGAATTCATTAGCCTGGCCTGAACACCCAACTATCACAACCCAAATCTATGGCTTGTGGGTGCATGTCCATGCTGTTTGGTGCAAGGCAGCCTGTAGTGTGAGTGATAGCCATGTCGTATGAGTTGGATGTGTCGAGGGGTGCAGGCCCTTTGTATTGTTGCCTTGGCCCAATTGATGGTGTTTGGTGTGGCTACCCCCTAGTTTGAACCATCTTTTTTTCTTCTTTGGAATTTGGCTAGGTCAGCATAGGTTTCTTGTGTTGGCTAATAATGGTGGAATTTATAACCGTGACTAGTTATTTTTACAATGTAACAACATTGAATAATTAGCATCAGTAAAAATCTATAAATCCAGAGTACATCCCAAAAGATTTAGGTACGCATTCATCCAAATTACAACATAATTAGCATATTTGATTTATGGACCCATTAAACCTGTTGGGCCAAGCTTGGGCAGGGGGTGCTTCTTGCACCATTTGGGCCAGGCACATGCTTGTTTGGCAACTGAAAATTGTTGTGCTGCATGAGTGGACCTGGCTAGTGGCTAGGCATTCCTCCCTATGAAATGGCTCCTGAGTTTGGGTTGCCTTTACTTTTGATGTACTTAAATAGTTCATTTATTCTTTCAGGATGCATTTGTTCTTTGGGACACTTATGGTTATCCAATTGATTTGACTGAGGTTAGTTTTACATTTGTTATTTATCTTTTAACCAGCTAATTTGCTAGAACATTTTTATGTTTATCATGTATTATTTTTATTTCTTTGCGTAGGTCATGGCAATCGACTACGGGCTGACTGTTGATAAGGAGGGTTTTAATGCTTCTATGGAAGAAGCGAGGCAAAAAGCTAGAAATGCTCGTAACAAGGTTATTTTTACGTTTCTACTAAGTGTAGAAGTTAATCCTAAGAGTCTCTTGTGGTGCCATTTGTTATCCCATTATTCTTGCTGTTTGTGTTTCTATATTTGCTGATAACATTGTCCAATATGTATATGTTAGTGGTATTGAAATCTGTTGTCCATGTTTGTTCTTTGTTTATCTTTGAATTTCATGGTAACTGTTTTCATCCCTTCAATTTTTACTATATATGTTTCTTTTTGCAGTCTGGAGGAAGCTCTATTGCTATGGATGCGAATGCTACAGCGCATTTGCGCAAACAGGGGCTTGTCAGCACGGATGATAGCCCAAAGTTTCTGTGGCCCAAGGTTAGTTATACCTTTTCTTATCTTACACATCTATACTTAGGTCCTGTAGGGGATTCTAGAATCCGGATTCTAAAATCCAGATTTTGGATAATAAAATCTGTAGCCGTATGAGTCCTCGGTTTTTAGTTATGGATTCTAGATATTTCAAAGAGTGTTTCTCCCAAATACCCCTCAGCATTGCGTTCAATTAGCAGAGTGGTTAAGAAAAGGAAAACATAAGAACGTACAAAGTGCCTAGGTCCACGTGAATTGCATCTCATCTCCATCCCTGTGCCCGTTGGTTGCCGCACACCCGCACTACCTCTGATCCATGCCAGGTTTGCTTCTTGTCTCCAAATATCCCCTGCACCATCCAATCGCTCCTGCGTCCTGATCCACGATGCGCGTCCCTTCCCAGGCCTCTCCATAGATTAACCATCACCAGCAGCAGCCCAAGTCCCCGTTCCCTGTCCGCTCTCCCTGGAGTGAGGAAGCCTGTAGAGTAATGTGGATGTCGTCGCCAATGTTGTAGAGTGTGAAGCGATGGGCCCAGATTTGTAGCGGGGAAGGATGACAGAGGAAGTGTGTGCATACCAGCGAGTACATCTGAATTGCACCATTGCGCGATCTCACCCGCGTAGGCGGTGTTGTGCCACTCCCTCACCCACTGGGGCGTTCGCTTTCCTGTGATGTGGCTTGCCGGCGCCGGCCCCGCCACGCATGGCCGTGAATACAGCTGCTCTGATGACCAATCGGATAGCATGGCTCCGACCGCCCTGGGATCCAACATGTGTGCTCATCATGCCGTTGGTAGCCGTCGCGTACACCGCTCCGTGCCGCATCCAAAGTAGGCTTGAGGCCGCTCGTTCACGCTACTCAACCTCGCCGAAGCACCAATCAGTGGAGCCGAGTTGCCTACTAGTGGCGGCGCTTGTGGCTGGGGCAGGGTGGAGGCGGCAAGAGCGGCTGCGTAGGTGATAACGATTCAGGACGGCAGCCAACAGGGGAAGATAAGGGTAAGGGCAAACATGACTTTTCACATGTACTATCCTGTGTTATCTGGGTTCTGAGAGATACAGAGATTTCCAGAATCCCAGCGTCGGATTCCCAGAATCCTACCCATAATCTGCCCCGTTTGAATGCTCGTAGATTTTTTTTTTATCTCGATCCTCAGAATCCCAATGGATTCAAACAGGCCCTTATTAGTTATACTCAACTTCTGGTTCTTCCCACACTTTTGATATTTGTAATCAACCATTAGGGTTGTGCCAATGTTTACTATGCTTTTCTTGATCTTACCATTAAGATTTTGTAGGAACATGAAAGTGTGGTGAAGGCTATCTATACTGGCTCAGAATACATTACTACAGCTACTGGTGATGAAGACTTTGGCCTTGTGCTGGAAAGTACAAGTTTCTATGCCGAACAGGGTGGCCAGGTACACCATGTCTATATCCATCCAATAGCGATATGAAATCTAGCATTAAGTGTTTTTAAATTCACACCATCAACCGTTAGCCTTGTTCAGTGTTTAGAAATATCAGCCTCGTCTGGCTGGCAAGTTCTCTTTAATTGTTATTTTCAGGCAGTTCTTGGATGGTTACTGCTGCCTGCTGGTATATTCGATCCAAATGTGTTGTTCTAGGACTTGTTTCAATTTGCCAAACTATTGTCATGTTAAAACATTTCTGTTTTTAACTTTATTTTATCTGTATTTTTCACCATTTGAAACACAAAGTTTGTACTGTCCCTCCTGATCTTGAGACTAGAATTGTAGCGTGGGAACATTGATGCATGGCTCTAAAGGTTCTCAACGTTACTTTTAATATTGAAACTTGAAACATAGTATGTAATTGTTGGAAACAATCCTGTGTGTCTAGGTGCATGCTAGTGTCAAGGTTCATAGCATTTACTTTAGCTAAATTTCAACATGGAGTAATAGGAGTAATAGGCTGATTTTTTTGGGTAATATTCTGCATTAATTAGGAGGCTATCACAGCCACAATTGTAGCTCATGGCTGCCTATATATGAGAGAAAAACAGAAAATGATAAGTTATTTTATAGCCACCAAACCCACTGTATTTGTGTGCGCGCTTGTGTGTCAGTTCCTTAGTATTGTTGTGGGCTATCTGCCTTTCAATAACTTCTATAGCTTGTGTTAGTCGCTGAATTCTTACTCTTGGTAGTAGCAGAATTCTTACTCTCATCGAGAGAGGATGACACTAGGAGTTGGGGTAATTTTCTGGTTTATTTCTCACACAAATGCCATGCCAACCTGAGGGGTTGGGGATACATATTTATAGGCTGCTAGCCAGCCAAGCATATGCCAAGATGCTATATGCTAAGATGCTGTCCTAAAACAGATGCTGTCCTAGATGCTAGATGCTGTCCTAGATGCCAGTCAAGGATGCTGTCCTTGATGGGCAGCAAGACCACCATGCAGCCATGCAGCCACAAGGACCATATGCTGCAGCCCCACAAAGATAAGCCAACACAGAGACTTATCCCATCAGCTTGATGTCATTATATCACAGCAATAATATACTGCAGTTTACATTCAAAGTTATCTGCTTTTTCAAATGTCATCACTGAGACATACATTTGCTAAATCTTTTGGATTAACATGGATTTTTTGGCTTCAAGATATTTGACACTGGGAGCATTGAGGGGTCTTTTGGAACTTTTAATGTGAACAACGTCCAAGTGTTTGCTGGCTATGTTCTACATATTGGCTCATTTACAAAAGGTTCCAAGGTTTTGTCTCTTGGTGATAGTGTGATATGCAAGGTGATACCTTTTACTAGCTACATTTTTGCACTAAATTAGTTCGTATGTAATCGATCGTATTTCAATATGGCAAAAACCCATTGGTAGGTTGATTACAACCGGCGCACACTGATTGCTCCAAACCATACGTGTACTCACATGTTGAACTTTGCTCTAAGGGTATGTTTCTACCTTGTCCAAAATTTATACAGTTGCTCTCTTTCTCTCCTGATGATTCTGCCATTGCATTTATAGGAAGTACTTGGTGATCATGTTGACCAGAAGGGTTCAATTGTTCTACCGGAGAAGCTGAGATTTGATTTCTCTCATGGTATTGTGGCTCCTTTGTATTCCACTGACTGAATTTTATGAGCTCGTTTACTCAGCTGTTAATTCATATAACAGGAAAACCTGTCCAGCCTGAAGATTTGAGAAAAATTGAGTCCATAGTGAACCAGCAAATAAAGGATGAGCTGGGTGTATATGCACTTGAAATAAAATTAGAGGATGCGAAGCGCATAAATGGTCTTCGTGCTGTGTTTGGTGAAGTAAGTTTTCTTGCTCATGGAATGTTGATATTTCTTGTTTGGCTAGTTATTAATGGGGTTCGCTTATTGATTTTGTAGATCTACCCTGATCCAGTAAGAGTTGTATCAGTTGGTCGCAAAGTGGAAGATCTGCTTGCAGATCCTGATAGCAAAGAGTGGTTATCCATATCGACTGAACTATGTGGAGGTTTCTTTTCAGCACTCTGCTATGTAATTCTATGTTTCATGATTATGATATCTAAAATTTTGTGTATATATCAGGTACACATATCACAAACACAAGAGATGCTAAAGCATTCGCACTCTTATCTGAGGAGGGTATTGCAAAAGGTGTTAGGAGGATAACAGCCGTGACTGCTGGATGTGCCACCCAGGCTATGGAGTTGGCATCATCTATTGATTCTGATATCAATGAAGCAGCTCAGTTGGAGGGAGCTTTGTTGGAAAAGGTATCAAGCTTCTATCATTTTTTAGGGATTCTCTCTCCTGGAGTTGCAGTGTTGACATAGCATGTGTTAGTCGCTGAATTCTCACTCTTGGTAGTAGGAGAATTCTTACTCTCATCGAGAGAGGATGACACTAGGAGTTGGGGCAATTTTCTTGTCTATTTCTCACACAAACTCACACAAATGCCATACCAACCTGAGGGGTTGGGGTTACATATTTATAGGCTGCTAGCCAGCCAAGCATTTGCCAAGATGCTAGTCTAAGATGCTAATATACTGTCTTAGCTAAGATGCTGTCCTCTAGTCTAAGATGCTGTCCTCTAGTTTAAGATGCTGTCCTAAAAACAGAAAAACAGCCACAAGGACCATGTGAGCAGCACGGCCCCACAAAGACCAGCCACACATGAGACTTATCCATCAGCATGATCAGTTGAGTGCTACAATAATGGACCAAGGCGTAGTCTTTTTCGTGGGAGCATAAGAAACAACATTAATAAAAGCTGTTCTGATGCATGTTTTACATTAGTAATGTTTTATTCTTTAATAACCACTAACAAACATGCCAGTATGTTGTAATGGGATGTACAATTTGTTGCACACTCCTCATGCCAATGAAAATGAGCAAGCTATTTTTATTGGATTTAATTGGCTTGGCCCAACCTTATAAATCAAATACTCCCTTCGTCCAGAAAAAGATGCAATATAGCACAGTACCAAGTTAAAGTTTCTTAAGTTTGACTAATAACTATATATAAAAAAGCATCAATATTTATGATATCAATTAAGTATCATCAGATTTGTCATAAGATATTTTCATAGTATTCTTATCTGGCGTTAGAAACATTAATATTTTTATCTATATATATTTGGTCCAACTTTTGGCACTTCAACCATTGTTTTTGGGACGGAGGAAGTAGATTCCATGGCCTTCAATTAATGTTAGTGCTATAAAGTATTAATGTTAGTGCTATGAATCCCATATAGAAAATTGATAGGAGATTGACTCAAACTTAAATATGTGGATATTGTGTGCACCTGTTGTGAGTTTAAGAAAGGTGGAGGGTGAACCACGTACATGCCACGACACAAACGGGCTCCGTCGGCCTGGCCATAACATAGTAGTGCAGCGCCGACAAAGGTTTTGCAGCTCCAAACTTAAAGAGATCAAGGCGAGAGTGATGGATGACTTACTGAGGGATGGATGGATGGCGGAGGAGAAAGTGAGACGGAGGAAATAACTTTTTGCACTTTAATATTATCTATAGATGTAGATATAGGTAACATGGCACTCTTGTTCAAAGAGATGTGAGGGATGACTGACTGACGGAAGAGGAGTCAGAGATAGATGGTTTGGAGAAAGTGACGGAAGATACTTCCGCTCTTTAATAGGAGGTATATATAGATATAGACTAGATGGTTTGATGCAAATTGTAGAATGACTGTAATGCATGAGTGGTATGGAATTGTCGAACCACATTCGCATTTAAAGTGTTTATTATAGATCTAGTCGACACCATTGGGCAGGTTGAAGGACTGCATCTGTACATTACTCCTGTGGAACTGAAGACTTCTGTCTTTTCTGCTGAGATATATATATATATATATATATATATATATATATATATATATCATTTCTAAGATTACCATCTAATATCAATCTCCCTTTATCAGAAAATTGCTTCCATCAAGAGTGGGCTGGATGCAGCTGCTATCCCTGCTGCAAAAAAAGCTGATTTGAGAGGCAAGGTTTCAAAGTTAGAGGTCTGTAAATGTTTCTATTTCGGATTTCATATATATGCTCATGTTTAAGAAAGAAGAATCACCTACGACATTTATGTTCTCTTTTTAATAAAAAGTTACCACCTAGTAATTTACTCCCTCTGTTCCAAATTGTAAGACATTTTTATTTTTTTTATACATAGTCTATATTTAGGTGCATAGCAAAAGCTATGTATCTAGCCAAAACGACCTACAATTTGGAATGGAGGGAGTAATAGTTTACTTTTAGGATGATTATAACTGTTGCACATCTCAGGATGAACTTAGGAAGGCAAAGAAGAAAATGGGTGAGCAAAATATACAAAAGGCTGTGAAGTCTGCAATGGATGCCGCAGAAGCTGCTCTTTCAGGAAATAAGCCGTTTTGTGTTACTCATGTCGATGTGGGTCTGGATACCACGGCTGTCCGGGAGGCGGTTATCAAAGTCATGGACAAGAAGGTACTTACATTGTTCATTTTCGCTTTATTGTTAAAATAATGTTAGTTAGTAAATTGCTATAGTATACTCCCTCCATACTCAAAAATAAAGTCGTTTTGGACAGTGACACGGTCTCCAAAGTATTACTTTGACTCCTTGTTTTTATAAAAATATTTATCAAAAAGTGATATATGTATATTTTTATGAAAGTATTTTTCAAGACAAATCTATTTATATGGTTTTCACATTTCCAAACTCAACAACTTAAAAGTTATTCATGATTTATATTCCCAATGTTTGACCCAAGCCTTGTTCAAAACGACTTTATTTTTTAGTACGGAGGGAGTACATGGCATGTTGTAGTAGAACTATTTTATCCCATCTCAAGTCGTTAGATATCCTGGTGAACTTTTGGATATGTCTTGGCCCAGGGTTTGCCTATAATGCTATTCAGCACTGATGAGGCATCAAACAAAGTTGTTATCTATGCTGGTGTGCCTCCTAATGCTCCTAGCGGCTTCAAGGTGTTGGACTGGCTAACACCTTCAATTGCACCACTCAAGGGAAGAGGGGGTGGCGGCAAGAACGGCATCGCCCAGGGCCAGGTGAGTGAGCAATCCATTTCTAGAATGTTCTATGGTCTCGAGTGCAAGTCATCAAGTAATAAATGCCTAAATCAATTCTGCGATTCCTTTACTGCAGGGAAGTGACGCTTCTCAGCTCAAGGAAGCAATGGCACTTGCGAACAGCATTGCTTCAATGAAGCTCTGTTGATTGGTGATAACTGGTGCACTCCCCATGGGGGGTCGTATGCGTGACTGCTGTTGGATTACTCTTGGCTTTTAGTTTTCCATTTACCCATTGTACTTAACAGAAGTTCAATGGTGTTCACTGTTTCATTTATACTTACCATACAATTGGAAGCACAGGGCATGTAATGTAACAGCGCAAAGCTTGTCCGATTTAACAAAAGCACAGGGCCAAGGCTTTGTTCCGCCATCGTTTAAATTTCGCTTCTGCCGGAGATGCCTTGACCAAATTGGTGCCGCGTGCTTATATGTTACGTGCTAGCAGTTGCCTTCTCGGCGATTAATTTGCATAGGCTTCTGGTATGAGATACACTCTGTGTAAATGATATGCGGATGTGCTATCCTTGTAATATTTAAAAGGGAAATGCCCTGACCAAATGCATGATTGAACTTCGTGAGGTTAAACATAATCCCTGAAGATATCTTATTTTGCATTTCTCAGAGTAAAAAGACCAGTCGTTCACTGATCTTGTAACATCCAGATATCCAAGCACATCAAAATTTTATGGCTATTAAAGAGGAAGGTCCAGACCCTTGCCCACCTCCACCCCAATTATCTGAAGAATCCCCTTGTTTAGCACCTGATTTAAGAAGCCGACCTTCAGAAACTCAAGTACAAGCAATACTCCAAACATTTAGACAATGTAGTGAATTCCTTCATTACCAGTTCCACAAGGAAGGTGCCGATGAGGCCAATCATGCAGGCCCTGGAGTTCCAGATCTCGGCAGTCTCGGTGAAACCCAAGAAAGAGCGAGCTTTGGCTGCACCCTGGGCACTTCAACCTGAATACAACAGAAAACGAACAACAGCTAACTGTAGAAACTCTTTGGACTAATCTTTTGCAGTTACAGGAAGCATTTTTTTAACCCGCTTGTGTCACTCACCCCTTGAGGAAGGTTTGCACAGCACTTACTCTCAGAGCTACGGCTCTAGGCGATGCGATGGCAGGCAAGAAGCAAGTGTCTTGCTGGGTTTATTGCGGCACAGGGCCGGGGTTGATGAGCCAAGAAGGATGGTGCAGAAAGAGCACAGCTTGCTGCCATTGCTGGGATTGTTTCTTTTCGCGTTGCTCTTACTTTGGGTTCCTTCTGTATAGAGGATAAGACAAATGAATCTGAGGAACCGACGTGGTCACATTTGGGCCTTAGGCGGTTGGGCTTTTGGCCCCAAAAGCCAAAAGCCCAATCAAAGGGGCTGTTTTTGGATGGTGCTTTTTCAGAAGCAGCTACTTTTTCGTAGTTCATTTTTGAAAGCTGGGTTGATCTTGCTTTTGGCTTTTGGCTTTCTGTTTTTCGAAATTGGTGGAATAAAAAGCTCTTCCATAGTTGTTTCAAGAGAGATAAAGATAAAAGGTATATTTTATACTTGTTTAACCAAACAGCTTTCAGCTTTTCTACAGCTCACAGCCCACAGCAGCTTTTTCACAGCTCACATCCCACAGCAGCTTTTTCCCACAACCACAGCTCAACCAAACAGGACCTTAGCAACCTCTCAGAAACATAGCCACTTGACGGCACGAGGCTATGGATTTACTGGAAAGAAATAGGACACTTCCATTTTCTTCATTCCCATTAAACTTGCTCGTTACACTCAACTCTGAAAATATCAAATCGATCCTAAAACACCCTAGAAAGACAGTAATAACTTGCAAATGTCCATTTAGAGAACAAGTGAGCGGTACCATTAAAGAATTTTTTTAAAAAAGTATTTTTTTGATAATTATTTGTGAACCTAGAAGCTATTGTAGGAGAATTGGAGATATAGTACTCTGTCGGCCGTGCAAAAGCCGACAGGGTCCTATCGGCAACTAAGCGGCCGAAATGCCTACGTGTCACCTACGTGGTAGCGTCGTCGGTCGTCCCTATGCCCTGTCATCGCTGATAGGAGGCCTGTCGGCCGCCTGACGGCCCATAGGTCCAACCAGGCCTGTCGGCAATTACACAGCCGATAAGCTTATTTCATGTAAAAAAATAGTACTCCCTCCGTCCCAGAAAGAATTCAATTTTAGCACAGTATCTTGACCAATTATCGCACTATAAAAGAGCGAGTTTTTTTAGGAGGCTCTCCCTCTATAATAGCCGTTCGATCCAAATGTCATCTTATCTGAGCCTTCCATCATCCAGAGATGTAAGATTTTGACACTTCAGAAGTTACGATTTTACCCTTTGTTTGTTTAAGTCACGTTGTTTTACATATGCTGATTTTATTGTTTTAGTTACGTTATTTTACATTTGCGAACAATCGTACATCATTAATAAAATCCTAATCTCTCACATTGTTTCTACGTGTACAGTATTATATAGTTGAAATCATATTCTGTCACGTTTACATTACTGCCTGATCATAGATTCTTTTAAGGTAATCGTGTAGAGCACCGTCTGGTCTGCGGTCTCTACTTTAGATACTTTTTTTTGCACTCATGAACAAGCGACTTCAGCTCCACTAGATGACGCCATTCATTCATATAATTTGTACATTTCTTTAACGTTTTATAGATCCAATAAATAATTGATCATCATATTTTTATATTTAAAGAAATTATTGATGATATATATATGAATTGAAATATCGAGAATTCAGTTAAAATTCTCATTGTATTTAAAATAATTTTTGTAAACACTGACATATTTGCTAGTATGTAAGAACGTCAGCCATTATTGACGATAGACACATTTTTTTAACGAGAGACGATAGACACTTAAGATCCGCAGTAGTGTCTACTGGACGAAAATATTGCATCGTTGTTGGGCTCTTTAGTTTTTACCAGCTACTGATATGCTCGAATTTAGTTTGGCCCAGATAACAGGCCCATCTAATACGCTTCTTTTGCAACACAGATAATCTGGTGCAGCCCAGCAATGTTTGTGGCTTGGTCCACCTTTATGGATCCCAGGAAGCACATGTGTTTGGTAGGTTAGGCATGCACTATGTTGTCAACATAACCAATTCTTTTATGTATTCATTCATGGTCAAAGTATAATTTATGAATGTTTTTGTTAAACATTTCAAGGGAGTATTGACTCTATTCGCTTGTCTTATAATCCATACTTTTCAGCTTGTTTTTTCAGCCGGAACAATGTTTTTCTCTCACGACAAATCAGTCGGAACAGTGTTTCGGCTTGTTTTTTCAGCGAAGCGAATGGGGCCAATGTAGTATAAGTTTATGACGCTGGCGTGATATGACAAAGGGATAGAATAGAGAACCTTCTCTGCTCGATCTCCTCTCACTCAGCCTCTCAGGCACGCACATCTACCACGACTACTAGTTGTGGTTGGACCATCCATGTCTCAATCTTTTCTTTTCCATCTCATGGAAAATCTCATGATATCTTCTTCCTCCTTCAAGGGATTGGACGGATTGAAGGGAACTTGTTGCAGCGTCGTGATAATTCAATAACTTGGACAAAGACCGTAAGAAACGACCCTTGACTAATAAACTAATTAAAGTGAACGCGTATGCCATTAAAGCCTAATTGAATCACACGTTCATCACTGCAGGCAGGCTCGCAGCTGTTTCCTTGCGCCTTTTGCTTGCTTTGCCCAAAACACAAGATATATACGTGTCACCCTCGCCGATCGAGAAAAGAGAGAAGAATTTTGCCTTCCCCGCAGAAAGACAAAAGTAATAAAAGGAAAACCGCAGGTTTTACAGTGACATGCATGCCACGTTCACATGGCTTTTGGCGAGCTAGTGACGATGAATGTTCATTGGCGAGCGAGGAACGCTTGTATGATGACCTTTTGGCTTTTGAGATGAGTGTACATGTGTTTAGGGTCTGTGTGTATATGCACAAGGAGAGGTATCCAACAAGATGATGGCGCTGAGGACAAAGCTAACAAAGACAGATTTGGTGCCGTGGGTAAATACATGCGTATCTTATTGCAGGAGAAAAAAAAAAGGAATCTCTCTTCTAGTAACCTTACACATCTTGCCGCCCTCAGCAATCCGACAATAGCACCGGTTAAGACGTAGGTAACTATGCATGAGGGGGACCGTGATGTTTAAGAAACGGAATGAGTTAGGTTTTCTAAAAGTTATTTGGCCTCTATTTCTAGTTATAATCATCCGTGCAAGATGTTTATCTAGATGTAAACTAGGTTTTTCTAAGTGTTGCTATCTTAATGCAAAAGAGTTATGCAGTCTTGGTTCTAATCCTATCAACTAGCATTGCAAGCTAAACTAGAAAAGATACGCACACAACCTAGATAAGTAAAAATATATGGAAGCTTAATTAAGATAGAGATGCAAACTCACGTTGATAACCTTTTTTCTCTCAAGTTATTGAGAAACTCACACTTTCCCACAGTGCTTGTTGAAACCCCTCGCAAGGATGCCCTCACAAGAGCCAAGTTCCCCGGTCGGGTAACTTCGTAAAGCCCATAGACCTTTGCACGCGCAAGTGGTTTTCCATAGATCCTTCTCCTAGACCACTCCCCACCATGTTCATTATCGCGTTTCCAGCAAAAACGTCGGGAGTGACATGTTCCCTTGGTACACCATAGGCGACCACTACACAACCTAAAGGACCTCGCAAGACTACAAGCCCCTAATGTACAACTCTTGTATGCACAAGTAACAATAGCTTCGAGGTATCCAAACCTCACTAAACACTAGAGCTAAGCTTAATGCAGCAGCTAAAGTTGTGACCGAACTAGTGTAAGAACTTCTTAAAGCACTACGCTAATCATCTAATATTTTCTTAAGCACTTGTGGTGGCTAGAGCATTTAGAGATGACCACAACTCACACTACACAACACCTCCAAACTAGCCGACCATACCCAAAGGGCAAATATAGTCGTTGGACAGACCTGAAGCTTCATAGTAAGCACCGGAAAGCTCTAGTGGCCCCATTCGGATGGTATGGTTCTGGAGGAATTTGGATAGTTTGGAGGAATTTTGAAGGAATTTGTGAGAGGAAAACACGGTTTCGGATGAAAAAAGAAGCGGATCAAGCCGGGTTCA